ATGAACGATGCAGACTGTTGGTGGGGGCGTGTTGGATTCCGATACAAAAAGAAAATAACCCCCAAAAAAAAAAAAAAAAACAAACTAAAAGGTCAGCCAGTCATGCCTTCAGACCAATTTATATCGCATACCAACATCTAATCTTTCGAAGTCCAACAGTTACCGCGTTGCGACTGGCCATGCAAGGAGATCCAAAATAGTAATAATATCGTTCGCCACCGTGTTCCTATCGATTTTGCATGGGTTTACTATCCATATCCTTACCGTAAATGGAGTAGCTAGTGTAGAACTAGAAGAGCTGCCCTATCGAACAAAAATTTGCAGTCAAAGGGCTGCTGCTCTCGTCGTCGCTCTAGAACACTACCGGTTGCTGCGAGCGGTCGTATTTGAAATTGTACCGGTCGGGCGACTCGTCTCATGATTTCCAGAGCTCCTGGTTCGCATCAAGTATTCGGCTTCGATTGCAAACGGATCGCCGGAACTGGTAAGACGGGAGATTGGGCGAGATGGGGTGATGTTCCAGTAGGTTTAATAATGACTTCATAGCAACCAACCGAGCGCGGGATAACCATGAGCAAGCAAAGGCTGGCCTGCATTTGGCCGGCTTCCCTTTCTCATCGTAGCTCTGCTGTGAGAAGTAATTATATATAGAACATGATTGTCACAATATACAACGCCTCCTATTGTTATTATGACGATGGCCCAAACAGCCGAACCCGATTGATCTCGGAGATATAGTCTGCGAATCTACTAACCACAATGACTGTCCTTTGGGCTAAAATGCTTCGATCGGCTTTAATTTATGCCTTGTTCTTGTCGCAGAGCTCGGCAGTGCAGCATATCCTGGCGCCATCTCCTGCTCAGGGTCAGTAAATCTACAACGCTATAGCGATGGGTGCTAAGATATGCTCCAGAGCTTCCGCCGGGACTTTTAAACTCCATGCGGCTCTATTCTGAGTATACTGCCGCTGCAACTTGCCCTTCAAACTTTAACTCACCAGGATACACAAAGGTCGTTTGCGAGCCAGGGGTATGTCCAATGCTAGAGAAAACACAAGCCACTGTATTCATGGGGTTCACAAAGTAAGCCGGCTGCCAAGGAAACTTCCGTTCTGTGTTCAATGGATAACCTCACATAGCTGGACGCCGGGAAATACTACTGGATACCTGGCAGTTGATCATACCAACCATGTACTCGTTCTGGCTTTCCGAGGCTCCCGGACAAAAGGAAACATACAGGTTGATGGCCAATATGAGCAGGTTTCCATACCCTGGATCTGCCAGGGATGTCAAGTCCATTATGGATTCTATTCTTCCTGGGATGCTATCTCGCAATATCTCCTGAGTGCCGTTAGGCGTTATTATAGTGTATACCACTATCCTATTGTCTTCACCGGACATAGTCTCGGGGGTGCACTGGCTGCTCTCGGTGCTGTCCTAGAGGATTGGCCCACAGTGGTTACATTGGTATTTCTCATAGAATATGTAGGATTACCTGGGTAAAAGCGCTGACAAGATAATAGTATACCTATGGAGCTCCCGAGTTGGGAAATTACGCTTTTGCCAACTTCACTACAAATGCTATCGGAGCCCAAGGGACCAAGGGATTTGAAGTCAGAGTGACGCATACGAACGATCCAGTCCCAAAGGTGTTATCCAGAGATGAACATATTAGCAAGTACTGGCAGTATAGCACAACATCTCCGGAATTCTGGATTACTTCAAAGAATCATGTGCCCGTCTCCAAGGACGATATTGAGGTGTTCTATGGCATTGACAATATGAACGGAAATCTTGGCACAAAGACCTCGGACCCGTTCGCTCATAATTGGTATTTTGGCGATATGGCCGGTTGTACTGGAGACTGAAAATCTTCAAATTTGGCTGTAAATCGGGTCGTCGGTCTTTCTTTTCCTATTATAGCCTGGCGCTTTCCAGTTGACGTGATCGGAAGTCCTGCATAGTCAACTTAATTGGACCTAGGAACTTTGCTTATCATGCATTGATATCAATATGCTTTTGGTAGTCTGGTGTTTCTCTTATGGTCCAGAGCTGTATACGGAGGTTAAGCTGAAGGATAAGAATACTGTAATTTTTACAGACCCTGGCTCCCTTCGTATAGTTAACCTCGTCTGAAAAAGTGGCTAAGTGAAGTAACAGTCCTATTCATAATAATAACCTTATCCTAAATAGAGAGTAACTGGAGTGGGAAAATGGACCCGCTACGTAATACAAACAGCACTGTTCAGGGAAAGAGGGGCGCAGGCAATATAGAGCGCAGGTAGCAAATTCATCTGCATAGTCTACAAGAATTGTATAGGAGAAGAAGTATTATACGATTCATGAGCAGAAGATATTGTGACTATGTAGACTGTAAGTTGAATTATACAACCCACGTGTACTAGGTCCCGTAGTCCACCCGTAAATGCTCGTATATGTGGTAACACCCTATATATAGAGTTGAGCCGTGGATGCGTATTATGGGCCAAAAGAATATTCCCAAACAACGCCATTCTATCGATCGGAGGTCATCTCCGAGCTTGCCGGTTGCATCAGCCCTCATTCCTTCCAAGGTCAACCTCGGGACAACGGTCGCTCAGTAATCAATTAACTTTTCCACGGCTCCTACCTATCGAGCCTCAGATATCGTTATTGAGAAGGCTAGGGAAAAGTGTATGGCGCAACCAACTGAAGCTGAGCCTCAAACGTAACTGGTACATTTAGATTAAAGTAGTCATCAAGAAGCTGGTAAATCTTAAAGAAAGGCGGATAGGGTGTTGAGGAGAGAAACCATGAAGTGGGCACAACCGTAGAAGCTAATATTCAGAACATTAGACGGATTTGCAAGTCGTGGATGTCATGTTCGCCACCGTCGGACGATGGCCAAGACCTGCCAGACTCTGTAATTTAGACATTGGGTCCGTTTGCAAGACTATTACAATAACCAGTTATCGTAACAATCGTTAGCAAAGCCGGGGAGAGTCAGGAGATAGGCTACCCAACTCGAGTGAACCGCTGGTGGAGGCTATCTTTATTGTATGATCAGCCTCTATAATGTACCTTGGAACAATGGGCAGTCAATTTTACTTCCTGTTGCTTCAGATTTTTTATTAGCTCTGCCTAGTGGACAGACATCGTGTGTATAGCCAATGTAATAACTCTTCAGAGCACACCAGTAGGATACGGATATACAATGCCAAAGAATTGGACTGTCGTGTCTTTGGTGTTGGATAATGATGGTTTCTCGCAGTCTTTTGAAACAGGAACGTAGTATGGTGGCAGACAATGTCAAGAATAACCATATAACAATCTCCATGTCACATATTCGCTTGTGAATCATATCACGGTATGGTCCTATCGCAATAGAAATGCAGCTTGATGGATCCCTAAGTTTAACTTTAATTGGCCGATATTGAGGCATAAGCGTCAAGGCATGTAGGTTCATTAATCATAGGATATAAAGTACGCTCCCGCAGGAGAATGGTTCGGCCCGGAATTGTGAGCCCGCCATGTATTTACTGCACCGATATATGGCTTTTTGGCGAGTTCCAATAGTGAGGCGTAGGATAACTAGTACTAGGTGCTCACTAGCTGTTTACATCAATTAGGCTACTATATAAGCATTGACTTCATATAAGGCTATTCTAAGTTTTGGTCCGATATTGCAGAGCCATGGTGCGCCATAAGGTTGGACTGGTCTGGCCCCGTCGCTATCATCTGCTTCGTGTTCGTTCGAGGTCGATCGCGAGCCCTGGATCTACGAGAAGTATAAACGGGTCAGTCGGTGGCGGAATATGTAATAGACTGAAGAGAAGAATGAGAAAGACCAGTATGGTTACAAGGTATGGTAGGCGTGACTTTACAAGAACTACGGTCCCGGCCGTATAGCTCTGCATTGTGCCCGTTCGCTGATAGAAGCTTAGATGACTATAATCATCGCAACTGAGGTATATATAGTAGTAGCCCTTCGCGTCGCTCTTGTTGTCCACAGTTGCTAGAGCGATACCTAGTCTTTATCAATCGCTTTGTCAGACGTATAGGTGAACCTTGCAGGACGATCATTTATCATCATGGCGTCCACTCCTGCAGCCGTCCATTATGATACGGAGCTCATGAAGAATCAAAAGAATGCCAGCTCCATGGATCCTGCTAAACAATTCGATGTCTTGCAAAACTCTGATGGCAAGGCTGTCTTCTTCTCTATAGGCTCCGACAATGTGTTAAACGTGTCGCAAGAAACCGCTGCATCTCCAACGGGATGGACAAAGTGGGACATATCCACCGCAATTGCTGGTAGATTTGGACAGGCTTCAATCACAGCAAAGACATTTGCCGTATCACAAAACCTCAACAACCCGGCAAATGTCGATATTGCCCTGGTAGCATCTCTTGAGGGTCAGGGTCAAGATAACCTCTTTCTGGCCTATGACGTGCCCAACGAACCAAGTTCATGGGAACAGAGCTGGTACTGGGAGGCGGCATTTTTCGACGCTCCCGGAAGACCTATGCCAATGCCGTTTCTAATCAGCAATGTGTATCTCATGAACATATTTGGCAAGGGAAGACTGTGCTTCGTTGATGTGATTCGCAATCCCACAGAGAATAACCGTGTGATTGATCGCTATTATATCCGTCACGGGGCCTCACCAATATGGTCATTTCATCCCCTTCCGAATGATGTCCGCGCTGGTTCAGTTAGCTGCCTAGGTAAACGACCCAAGGAGTCGGTTGGAGGCATCTACACCTTAGCGTCTGTGGGACCATGGACACAGGAGGTAATATATACTCCTGCACGCACTGAGAAAGATGCCCGTAGTATCCGGCTTCCCACCCTTACTGGTTCGACTGCAATCGCATCAATGTTGGATGAGTCTGGGAACACCTTTCTGTTCATAGCATGGCCCAGTGACGGGGCGATTGCTGTCTGGACCCCACATCTGCAAAACAATGGAGACTGGGCCCAGATGGTTATCGACACCGACTACACGGCAGCTACTGGTATCCTGCGAGGGACTACTGCTCTCGTTGCCACAAGGCTAGGTAGTCGCACTGTACTTTGGGGTCTCAATGGTCTTGGGGAGCTCTACAGTGCATCATGTCCAAGTGGATCAGAAACAGACCAACTCGCATGGTCTGATCCCATCGCGGTTTGCTTTGATGTGCTTCAATTCGCACACTACCCGAACGTGGCTCAGTCTAGTGCGAATAATGTTCTATTTGCACAAACACAAACACAGACCTTAGACCAGCAGTTGACCATGCTAACACAAAATCTGAACACATCCCTCTGGACCGAGCGCAGTGTATTGCTCCCTCCAGAAAGCGTGAACACGGTCACTGAGTACTACAGTTATACAAGCCATATCCAAGTCGTCGATGAAAATGACCAAGGAGTTCCCAATTATTCACCAGTTTTTTTAACCGGACTCAGTCCGGTGTCTGTCTATGTGAATGATGTCTACCACGTGCTCACACCGGATGTCCCGCTGCCAGCAACGACAAATTCATCTGGAGTTATCACCATTGTCCAGGAGATACAGTCTCTTTCAGGAATTCTTATCGGCGTCGTCGTGCTGCCACCTGGAAGTGATAAGCCTATCTCCACAACCATCGATCCACATGCAAATGCTGCACAAAGGCTTGCCACCCTGGACTCAGCCCAGAGCCTGAGAGGCGCAACAATTACAGACTCTAATGGATATCAGAAGCCGTTGGTTCCCGCTTCAGTGTCGGATAACGACATGAAGATTGCGGCGGAGAAATTCCAGAAGTTACTATACATAAGGTCCCAGATGCCAAGCAATGGGGGCAGGCAGCTCAAGCCCTTCTCGGCAGTTTCAGCTGGACCGTTTCGTGGTAATACTATCTCTGAAGAGAAGCTCCGTAGCCGGATTTCTCTTTTGTGGGGTGATCTCGCTAGATGGCTCAAAAAGTTCATAAACAAAGTCGAGAGCATCACTGCTCAAATTATTGACGGTTTCTGGAATTTTGTCGTAGAGGTCGGTGACTTGATCTATAGCGCTGTGATGGACACAGTTTCTGCGGTTGTAGGTGCAGTCGAATATGTCTTCCATGAGATCAACGTCGCCTACGATGACATCGTTCAGTATCTTGGGTTTATCTTTAATTGGGCCGATATCAAGCGAACCCACTTTGTGATCAAGAACATTATCAAAGTATCCACAGCCCATGCTGTCAATTCGATTACAGACATCGACGACGGCATCAAGCGTGAATTCTCCACTATTCAGGAGAGGCTTGAAAATTGGGACAAAATGCCCGACGTAGGTGGAACGATTGGCCAACAGCAACAGCTTCAGTCTAATGTGAAGGGGTGCAAGAGTCCACAAGCAAACTGGGCGCTGCATCATGCTACGAGCAGTATACAGAACGCCCAGACCAGTCATGATCGACGAGATCCAATATCCAAAGACATCGAGAAGGCTTTCCAGGACATCTATTACCTGTTAAAGAATGAAGAGACTGCTGTAGTGACAATGGTTACACAACTGAAGGATCTGCTGATGAACTTTTCGTCACTGACTGCCGCTCAAGTCTGCCAGCAGGCGCTCGGAATTATTTCTGAGTTCATTCTCGAGACAGCGGAGGACTGCTTACTCACGTTCCTGGACCTGGCTAAGCTTCTTGCCGACGCAGTATTTACTCTTCTTGATGCTCCATTAAACATCCCTATTCTCTCCCCAATTTACAAGGATATAACTGGAGACCAGCTCAGCTTTCTTGATCTGGCATGTTTCATTGGTGCAGTCCCCGCCACTATTCTATACAAAGTGGTAACCAATGCAACTCCGTTTCCAACAGATGACCCACTCGGGGATGCTTTGATCCAGGCGCCTGATTATGCGACCCTTTCAAAGCTTCTCAATTCGACCGAGCTTGACAAGTATCAACAGCAGGCCTACCGCAAATACTTGACCATAGCCAGAATCTCAAAGCCTAGGACCATTCGTCCGGCCAAAGCATACGATTTATGTGAGGCTGTCTCGAACTTCGTGGCTGCTTTTGCCTCCTTGGGCTACATCCCTATGACAATCGCGAAAAGCGTCTTTGACTTTAAAAGAACACCAGCGCCCAAGGCACTTAGATATACTATCCCAGTTGTTTACATGGGATACGTCATGCCAGATATCATTGGCTCCTTGTCGGACAGAAGGGAATGGTACACCATCCTGAATTGGTATTATACTGCCATTAGCATTGTAAAGGCAGGCCTTGACAGCAGTGACACAATCGGAACCAACTCGACGTATAGTGGGTGGGTCAATCCAATTATTGAAACCGGCCTGAATATCTGTTGGCTCGTGCCCGCCGTTGGGGACTTCGTCGATAATCACGACACCAGATCTGATATAGCGGCCTTCTACGCGAATGTCCTGTTCGACGCCGGCGGGAGCTTATCTGCTGGCGCGTCTGAGGACCTTACAGGTGCTGAGGTAGCAGCGGATATGCGAGTCGCTCAAACTCTCTTGTCGCTTGGGTACTTCGGTTGTGTGACTGCGACGGGATATTTTGTGACTAAAGGACAGTAATTCGTCTCCCAGGTGTGGGTGACACTTATTGTTGCTATATATAATGTGCATTCTCCTTTCACTAACTGTCAAGGCATACCTACGTGATCGGGGGGCGGCGGTATGTTAGTCTAGCGACTGAAGCCTGGACAAGTCAAAAACAACGGTTATGGTGAATTTTATTCAGAATCTCTTAGAAAAAGCTACCGTCAGCATTCAATATCTTGCGACCATCCTAAGCATGTACTTCAATTTGATTTCGATGCTGAAATGTTTCCTAATCCCAGGCTTGATTCATGGTTAACTCTATATCCTCGTACTGGGTTCAGTCTACGTGCTATCAACATCTTTATATTTTGATGAGCTTGTATTCTAATGTTTCTATATACAACTACTTGTCAGCTAAGCTCTGCTACTCCTTCCTTGTACTAGAAACTTAAAGGTATATCTGCAAAGAGTAGTATAAGAGAAGAAGCTTGGCTGTCGTGCGGTTTGTGCCGTGGGATGGGGTCAATAGATGGTAGTATCGACTGTGAAGAGGTCTAACATAGAATTACAGCACCCTGAAATCTTTCAACAAACAATAAAATACCTTTCCCCTCGCCTTAATCATACATTTACCCGTCAGCATCCAAGCGCTGCGTTCATTACTCCGGTGAAAGGAATAAACACCGGGGCAACTGTGAAGATGCAACACACTGGCGACAAGATGGTCACAAAACCCCATGAACAAAAGGTCAATAACACAGTTGTGGACAAGGATAATACAAGTTATGATAATGTATACAATAGAAAGCTTGAACATTGTTTGAGGCCATGGTTGCCTCCGCAAAGATCTCAATATAACTAAGGGCAGGCTTGTCACTGAGAGAGTGAAAAACGGAAAATTATCGAGAAGGCAAATGCACATATTAAATCGAAGATCCCAATAGCAGATGAGGTGACTGAACCCCATTACATCAGTATTTTATGTTCGATCTGAAACCAGACTTCGAACCAGAACTGGAACGAGGAACATCTATTAAACTAGGATAAAGTTGTTCATTGAGCCATGCTTGCCTTGTATTTACAGCAGCTGCGGGAAGACCTCTAGGGTTTATGAGACAATAGTTAACGTTTATATCATGATGAATCTGACCATAATGTATAAGTCTTTTTCTTAAAAAGCCTTATTGACGCCGTCCCATGCAGGAGATTCGAGCTTGGCACGCAATAGATCACCAGGCCACGAAGCTGCTGGCGCTTTCTTTGGACAATCAAGTGCCTGCGCCACGACTGTATCGCCCAAGACTTTCTCAATCCCAAGGCGAGGTAAGTCCCGTTCTGTCGCCTCTCGAAACTCTCTATCAACCTCGGCATACGAGCCGAAATCTGTTAAGACACCGAGGCGCACTAACCTCGTAAACGGATCAATGCGCTCAGCGATACCAGGGCTAGTATGGAGAGCTATAGCTTGCCACACTTGCTTGGTACTTTCCTCAGCAACTAGATGAGTCCGGAGGTAATCAACGCTAGCGTCAGCCCCTTCCACCTCGAAGCGTTCTGAACTATTGAATTTATCGGAGCAGCCTATATCATGCATTATGCAGGCAACGAAGAGGAGGTCATATTTAGACGTGTCGATCGAGGATGACGTGCAGTGTTCCGAAATCCACTTTGCATAGCAATATACCCGCAGACTGTGGTTGAGGATTGGCTCTGGCAGACTGGACTGGGCCAACTCGAAGGCTCCAGCACAAACATCATTCTTTGGCATCCATGATGGACACGTGCCATGTCGACTGCACGGATGTTCGGCAGCTTCGGCTTGCTGGGCTAGACAACACATATCTGGCAGATGTCAGGACCACTTGTCGCTCCTGTTGTTCAGATGCCTACCTGTAACTTTTCGCAATATAAAGTGTGTCCACCGTGACAGCCGTAGCTGGTAAGATATTGATAAATAAGACGATGCAAAAAAAAAAAAAAAAAAAAAGGGGGAAAGAAAGAAAGAAAGAAAAAAGAAAGAAAGAAAAGGAAAAGGAAAAGGAAAGAAAGGTCTAATTTCATACAGTGACTCGATGACTCATCAGCGTTTGACTGTATTATACGGAGAGTGGCGGTTTGTAAGCGTGCAGCGGAACATAAATATTTTGACTGTATTTACGAGTTCTCACCTAATCAATCATCCTCCAGTCTGCCCCCGCAAAATGTTTATTTGGGAAGGAGGGTTCTACTAGCTATCTGAAGATAAAGATAATCACTCTTAATCCAGCTGAACTGTATCCCCCCCTGCTGCTTATTGGACATAAGTTCATTTACTGAATGAACCGATCTGTACAACATATAAATATTTACAGCTGGACCTATCCAAAGACGGCTCGTTGAATAAGATTATCACCTTTCTTCGAGATTATTGTCTACCAGATATCCTGCCTTAAACCGCGAATACTCTAGTACTACCACCGGCCGATCTATTATAGAAGACTATTGTGACCGGTAATCCTAATCATCCTAATTGTCTTAATCTCCAGATTGTTTAGTTAAACCTGCATAACTCGCGCCTACTTAGCCAGTTTAATATAGATAGATTTATTGCTGAAGCACATTCTTTTCAAACTCTTAAGGGCTTTCGCTTCTTTTACTATACTCGGCCTATGTACAATCTTCACCATCCAATCCATATATCCTTCCACAGCCCTGTTCTCCAGCAGTGCTGTTATATACAGTTTACAGAGTCTCCATAACCAAAATTTATAGGTATACGTTGCTTTTCCCTATATGTACTAGCTAAGGAAATCTACTTGTCAGAGGATTAGTATACGTTACAGATTAATATAGTAGTTTTGCCATCACTTCGAGAGGTTATACCCCAGTTCAATACAGCGTTTTCTGCCTAGATAGGCCCACAGCACAACAGAAATACATACAAAGAATAATAAACACTATATATAGAATATAGAAGACTCTAGACCCATCTCTCTAACAGTATATAAGAAATATATACAATAGCTTCGGGAACATATGCTGGCTGGACTAGTACATCCCAGCCTTGCTGGTTTCCGTGAGTATTCCGGTAAATTTAGCTGCATAGTGTGGAGTTTGGTTGTATACTGTCATATATTACAAGTCTTATATTATTGTTGTAGTATATAATACATAACTTGTTATTCCTAGGAAGGCCGGAGGAGCCGGGCTTAGGCTAGACATGTTATAAATACAGAATACCACCGACGCAGCAGATCTCCAACGTTTGCAGTTTACTCAAAGGGCTCCATAAGCTTGTTACCAAGCACCTTGGCTGGAAAAGCATCTTCACCCAGAGTGGTAGTGTGAGACCAAGGCTTTAACTCGTTCTCCCTACGGATGGTGGCAGCAAAGCAGTGACTCCAGCTCATCCTCGGAAAATGATGCGAGACATCTTCAATTGTTGCAGGGTGAACACATTCGGCATATGCACCAGTATTGTCTATTTCTCATCAGCCTGTGGAGCGTAATAAGATGCGATCATTGCTCCTTGATCTAGATATCAATTCTAACATACCAAAGATGGTTGCTAGCTGTAAAAGCTGTCCCACGGCTGTAATTTTGCCTGTGCTACATAAATCTTGATGGCGAATAATGGCTTCAGCAACACTCTCGGCCTGGTCTCTCGGTGCTGCCGTGTCTTGAGATGAATCTGTAGTTTCTTGAAGAACATTCAAAGCAATCAGGCCACCAAAAAACTCGAAGCTTAGTTTTGTGCTGGTCAGATTATCTTCAGTAGCCCCGATGTCGTGAAGCAGACACGCGAGAAAGTATGTCTCATCAGTGAAGGTCCACGAGGGGAACAAGTGCCGCCTCATCGCAAGTCCAAAATGGTAGACGCGGAGAGAGTGATTGTAGGTTGGCAATGGGAGATGAGACTGTGCGTACGTATTGATACGTCGAGCGAGAGCCGTTTCTGGAACTGGGGTTTCTGCAACTGAGATGAATGGTGCAGCTGAGGAAGGCGAGACAGAAGACAAAAGCGTATGTGCTGACGCCGCGACGGGTGTAAATCCGTACAGAGTCTCTGAGTCAGGTGCCATGTTTATTAGACCAAGACAGGTGACTTTGAATGGTAAAGTCTTGATTAAATCCCTACGAATGAAGTATTCTTGATGAGCTGAGAAAAATACGTGTAGCACGGCTATATATAAGGTCTCAGCGGACATGGATCAGATTCTGACAAATCCACTCTTACAGTGTCTACCATACATATCCATGGGAGGAGGTTAACTTTATGGGTGGTAACGTAAATCGTCTTCAACCGAAGTTTCATTTTGAGTTAGACCCTCTCCAAACAACTTCTCTGTTAGGAAAGGTTTCACTAGCTTACCGGCACATGGAGACAAAACCTGTGTTCCGAACCAATCATGCATACAGGTTGAATCGTCATAGAAATGATGCTATCGAACCAGTTCCGCTTGTAAACTTTGGATCCAAATTCAATCCCCTAATACAACAACTACTATATTGAGTTAGAATCGGAACCCCCGGAGTGTATCTTTGGGTGGAAGCATCTTCACCGGTGTAAAAACTCCTACAGAGTTACCCGTGAGGGTTTCGGGTCAAGACTTGCCACTTGTTTATAGGTCGTGCCTACGGTAGGTATAGCTGTATTATACGTATAGTACGCTGCTGTTTATCTTTTATGTGAAGCTTCTTGTTGGGGCGTAGCCTGAATAACTGTACGGGGCCTCGCTCTGTAATCAGCTGCAGTAAAAAGCAGAAAAGATAAACAGTGTCCTATTATCAAGCAAGGTTCATTAAATTTCTTGATATCATCTCCATATATGCTATCTTTTTAGATAGCTGTATATACAGCTTAAAACTATGGGATTATAACCCTGTCATCACCTTGCTTTGCATACTCATATATAATATATTAGCAATATCTTGCACGTAGCTCCGTATCTTTTATCTCAAGGGACGCACCTATAACGATATTGTTATTATAAGAACGTGTTGAGGTAAACGCCTTGAAGCGAGGTGATGGGGCGGGCGGAGGTAAAAATGATCGCACCAGCAAAAATCTAGGCCCGAGTCGGGACAGCCCGTGTTAACTGGCCTGTGTGCTACATTAGCCACCATTTAAAGTCGTAACGAAACGTGGCCAATAGACGAACGGTCCGAGATCTTGGAGAGTCCTCCGACAGATGGTGCACGCGCCGATAGATGATTAGCCAATCGGATAACGGTCCGGGCCTCTCCTCCTGGGTCCCAGCAAAGCTATGGATGCAATGGACGAGATCAAGCAAAAGCTTCGGGGCCCTGCAGAATTTGCAAGGTAGCTCGATCCAGTTGGTGGCGAGATTGGTCGAGATGGACTTACTATAAAATTCGGATACCTTGCAATGGGCAAGCGGCCACCATGCACCAATGCAGCAGCATCTAATAACCATTGCCGCAACTCACCAGATTAGGACCTAGACATGGAGTCTCTCTTCCAATATCGACGGATCCAAAAAGCCGTTACAGAAGAGGTAGCTAGTGGTCATAGGGCGTTATCTTCTGATGCAGAACATGGCTTGAGGTTAGTTGATCTCTACATGTATGAATGTTAAGCGCTAAATAATCCAGAAGCTTTAGCTGTCATCCCGTTAGTACTCAGACCCCGGCTGGCATGCCTTCCACCGAAAGTTCCAGCCCTGTTCCGACGGTGATTGTAGACTGGTCAGGCCCAGACGATCAGCTGAATCCAGCAAACTGGAGTGTCGCACGCAAGGCTTTTATGACGGCCCTTGTCTCCCTAATCGCCTCCTCGGTAACGGCGGCATCGGCCATTGATGCGTGCGGCATTGTCCCATACACAGAGGAATTTGAGACATCGGAAGTTGTTGCTTCTCTTGCTACAGGTAGCCATCCAAATGAAGCTTTCATTCTCTTCCGAGGCTGTACTAAGAAGTACTAGGGCTCTTTATGATCGGCTTTGCCCTCGGTTCCTTGGTCTCCGGGCCCTTCTCCGAAATTTTCGGGCGCAATATTGTCTATGTCGCAACGATGCTCCTCTACCTCGTCTTCATCATGGCTGCTGCCCTTGCCCCTAATCTTGCGAGCCACCTAATCTTTCGCTTTATCGCGGGCCTTTTCGGCTCCACGCCTCTGACATGCTCTGGGGGAACAGTAGCCGACCTGTGGAATCCAGTCCAGAAAAGCTATGCGTTTCTCATCTTCGCGATTCCGGGATTTAGTGGGCCCATAATTGGACAATTGATCGGCAGCTTCATTCCCGCGACGTTGGGATGGCGGTGGCTGGAGTGGATCATGCTCATCATGGGAGGTGCGGTTCTTGTTACCGTATTCCTCTTCCAGCCCGAGACATATGCACCCCTCCTTCTGCAGTGGAAGGCGTCCGCTCTTCGCAGGCAGACGGGAGAGAAACGATACCAGGCCCACTTGGACATGAGGACTGAATCTTTGCTGCAGCGACTGGCTATCGCGGTCTCCCGGCCTTTCTTGTGGAGTTACACGGAGCCTATCGTTCTCCTCATGTCCCTCTATCTGACCATTATTTATATCATCCTCTTCACCTTTCTAGAAGGATACCGGTCCATCTTCGGAGCTACGTACAATTTATCCTCAGGACTCACCAGCATCGCCTGGGCCGGCATGTTGGTCGGCGTGTTTCTCGTGTGTCTGCTCACCCCATTGGTCTACTCCTGGACACGCAACGAATACAAGCAGACGGGCCGAATCCGCCCCGAAACCCGATTATGGTATGCGATGCTTGGGGGCGCCCCCGCCGTTCCCATCGGGCTCTTTTGGATGGGTTGGACGACTAATGTAATCCCCTCGCCTCTCCTCTTGTGTCAGAATAAATGCTGACAAGTTATGACTACTTTCTACCAGCCCTTAATCAGCATCTGGTCCCCCCTCGTTGCATCCGCTCTCGTTGGTTTTGGAATGACGACCATCTTCATCAGTGCGTACCTATACATCATCGACTCGTACAGCGTCTACTCCCCGTCTGCGCTAGCCTTCATGTCTTTTACACGCTATTTAGTGTCCGGTGGGGTGATGGTTGCAGGGGGTACAATTTACGAGAGGTACGGAGTGCCTTATACACTGAGTGTGCTAGGGGCCATTAGTGCAATGATGGCAGTAATTCCGTACCTGTTTTACTTTTATGGACCGGCCATACGGAGGATGAGCAAGCATGCGGCTATTAAGGATTGAAATTGAGATCTACATTAATGAATCAACGTGGTTATTTAAGGGGTAGTTTGACCAACAGAGCTAAAACAAAAAAGAAAGGAAAGGAAAAGGAAAAAGGAAAAGGAAAAGTAATATTACTGTATTTAGACTAATGTTTTGGTTTGCATAGAACATCCATCACGGGGATTGTGAAGGGAAGCTGCGGTAGATATATAACCCGGATAAAGGGCACTAGCATCATGGATATTATGCCTTGGGCCTTTTCCAGTCATAGACATAAAAGACCAGTTATCTGATATAGAATTATTGAATTAACTGTTATTCATATAAAATTCCCCAGTACACAAGCGATATCCGCGGAGAACCATTGTATGCTATAAGGAAAAGCGGCGTATCGAGATAACCCAATGAAAGATGATTCCGGTTAATGTGGGCCGCGGAACGTCCCCCGACTGGTGGATGCGACCCCCGCCAGCTCTTGGCAGCGAAACTGTTCCGTCTTGTATGCTGCGGGATATTCATGGGTTACTAAAACCGCAGTCGATCATTGTAGTTGCGGTTAATTTGCGATTATGGATGGCAGTTTGATACTCATGACTGCAGGTATGCTGCAGTCTTGTATAGATCGATCTTTATCATATATCACGTGCCGAGCAATTCTCCAGTAGGTTGAAAATAACAATTGTAAGTTGTGTGATACTGGGATGGTATATTTGCGTATTGGGCGTCTGTTCCTGGCTGAACTTTTCTGACGTGTGGCGACCTGGTTATGACACCACGCTGGTCACGGGACGGTGACACAATACCATACCGGAACCGCGGTGATTTCCTGGAACGTGTCATCACCAGCGTCACTACAATTCAGCAACTTCAGTCATCCAAGGAGAACGAACTATTATGAGATGGTGATTCGCAGAGTGGACCCTCATTCTCTGGGATGCAGCACCACGTAACAGGCCAGTTCTCGGCACCCTCAATGTTACCGCCTGCGCAAAGGAAGCGACTCAAGGTAGCCGTGGCCTGTATGCCCTGCCGCCACAAGAAAATCAAGTGCGATGGTGTTCGACCAGGTAGAGATCCCCATTCGCCCACTCATGAATCCGTATACCGAGGGGCTCATTGGTACTAGATTGTGGTAGCTGTAAAAGGATAGCAGGAGTGAAATGTGTATATGCCACAGGTCACGTGGAAACATCCATCGATCATAAGGAACAATTGTTTCACAGAGCCTCGGGCAATAGAGATGCTTTAGATGGATCCCGGACTGTCTCCACGCACAATCAGACTCTACTGAATGGCTCCTCGGAAGGGTCGGGGCAGCACTCTTGCATGGCTGGTGGAGGGGGGGTCCCTCTTACCGTATTATCAGCATCACGCTTGCCGCCGGCTGTCAACCAAGGCAATTTTGAAAGCGAGGCGCACACGGCTGATTCTATGAACGGTGTCACTGGGGACCCGAAATACACCCGCGATATCTTCGGTAGAAGCAGCGCGGGCTCATTTATGAGGCAGATCCAGACTGCAATCAACCCCAGACCGGACGCGTCATCTTCTGATCCCCCGGAGAAGGGAGCAGTCACGAGGGGAGATTCACCCGGAGTCCAACCTGTCTATTCCTCCTACGAAACATCAACCCTTCTTCTCCTTCCCCCAAAGGCACTGGCCGACAGTCTGATGCAGGTCTATTGGGATTATGACTGGACTTTATATCCTATCATAGATCGGGGTCAAGTTGAGGAGACCTACGAATCTCTATGGACCTCCCGGGACACAATGAGCTTCCCACTACTTAGAATGAGTATCATTAACTTGTGCTTTGCACTCGGATGCCATTACGGTCCATCAGTACCACCAAAGGAGCGTCGGGATACAGGTGACAGCTTCTTCTCCCGCGCAGAATGTTTATACAATAAGGCGAAGGATGCACCGTCCTCCGAGCGAGTGCAATGTTTACTCCTTTTTGGCGTCTACTTGCAGAGTACGAAAAATGTCTTTCAATGCTGGATGACCGTTGGAGAGGCAATTAGAATGGCACAGAGCTTAGGCATGCATCTCCCGGAACCTGAATTTAGCTCGCAATCTGTCAGCCATCGGGAGTATAGACGGCGGATATGGCATGGATGCGTGTGGCTAGATCGGTAAGTCGACCCGGTATTTATCATCACTACCACATTTTTAAAGCTTTTCCCCTGCTATCTTTGAACCACCATTGCAGTTCGCCTGCTAAGCGTTTCAAGGGTATTGTCCGCCACGTTCGGCCGACCGGGTATGATCCCGAATTGGCTATTCAGCTCGGTCCCGCTGCCCTCAATGATCGATGATGAGTTCTTCGAGGCCCAGACAGAAGGGTCTGAGAGACGACCGGATGGTCAGCCTTGCATAATGGCCTTCCTTGGAAAGGCCATTGAGCTCTACCGAATCCTGGACGACGTTCTGGTTGAGCTGTATCTGACCTGCAGCCCAAGAGAAGAGGGAATTGAGAGCAAACTGCCCCATATCCTTGAAATAGACAGTAGAATACAGTCCTGGAGCAAGTCGCTACCTGGTCATCTCCAAATCCATACAGCTGCAACTGGAAATACTATTCTTGATCGACAGGCAACTGTGCTCCGAATTCAGTAAGCCCACCCCATTTATCTGCCCTATCCTATGCTCCCTTGGTTCGTCTAACAACTAGTTAGCTCACTGCACGTTCGTATTCTGCTGTTTCGCCCAACTCTCGTCCGTTACTGCAGTCGCGGGGCGCCATCGTATACAGAGAAGCCCAATGTTTCGGCGGACCCCAGCCTTTCAGAAGTGATGCTCTTCCAGTGCCCACGCATGTGCTTCCGGTTTGCTCACGAGTTGATTGACATATTCAATCGCAATTTGGATCCCCAGACTCTGAATGGGCCACTTCCGGTTTGGTGGTACTCTGTATTCTGTACGTGAGCGAGCGAATCCTCCTCAATTAATACTACCCTATTCCATTTCTATACTGATACTTGAGCTCCCCCTTGAATTAGATGTTTACACCGCAGCCACCACAATCCTCGTAGAGCGCTTCCTCGAGACACGGGATTCTGCTGAAAACGGCGAGTCGGCCGCTTCTCAAACTTGGCACGCCGCCATTAACGTCCTCAGGTCCTACGGTGCTCTCTCTGACTGTGCACGGAGATGCGTGGCCGCCCTTGAAGTCCTTTACAACAACCTCTCTTTAGACAATGGTGAAAATGGAACCACTTCTCATCCTCGTGACGCAGCTTCTGACAGGGATTCTCTTTTGGGCTTATTTAATCAACTAAACCAGCCGGAAGAAATGAATGGCCCCGGACTACTCCCGCTCAGCTTTGATGATTTGATCTGGTTAGATTCGATCCTGGAGTCTTCTTATTGATAGCTTTGCCAATGTCTGGTATTTCCAGAGTTATATACTATTCAAGGTAGAGGACCTGTCAAGTAGGTAAGGATACATAGGTAAAATAGTAGTAGATAGTCTATCAATAGAAAACTAGTTCTTGCCTCTACTATTATTAACAATATACTAATTTATAGCCAAACATTCCAGTGCAAAACCCAAAACACCGAGTATACCATCCTTGTGACCAGTAGCTCAACTCTCCATGCAATGAGTTGCACCTTTCACCAAACTGCCGTCAACCCGGACACTATTGGTGAAAACTGCCATGCAAGTCCCCACTTCTTCCTCCGTAGCAACGAAGAAAGGATCATTCTCCACGAGGCAAAACATGACAGGTGCTTCTACATGGGCTGCCCACCTATGTCGTCATGTAGGAAGCCAGACACGGGGGAACTCTTGGATCTCTGTCTGTGGGGTGACCGCATTGAGGCGCTCGCTCTGTGCCAAAACCCCCGGACTATATGTCTCCGGTAATAACATCACCTTATCCTTAATAGGCACAGGTAAAAGAACATGATCAGGCCCTATAATTGTGAGCATACGTGGAGCATCCTTTGCCGCAGGAGGTTGCCTGTCACCCATTCCGCTTGCAATTATGCCTCCTAATGGGCATGGGGGGTTCTGATCTTTTCCATGCAAAGCTGCGGCAACAATCCCTCCCATTACTCCAAGACTGTGACACAAGAGGACCACACAGTTACATGCATTTCCAAATTGAAGCCAGAGGACTGGGAGGGTATAGTGGTGCAACCAAAAACCAGTCTCCTGATTGAGATCAGCTCCTTCGGGAACGGGCATGAAGGAACTTGTGTCCCCATAACACGGTCGGTCAATCGAACCGAACGGTACCGCAAAAGCAATGCTCGCTCTGGAGGCAGTATGCTCGGGGCTGCCATCGAAATAATGACAATCATATGTTCCGTCGTGCAAGGTAACAATCAGTGGACGGCGATGAGCAGTGAGTGCGGCCGAGAGTGATAGGATGGATGCACTTTATGCCGGACACTACGGCACCATTCAAAAGTGTGAGCTTGAACAGCCACATGGTAATGCAATAAGCCAGCAGTTCCACTTGTAAAGAAGGTCCCTAACGACGAGAAGCGGTATGCTAAATTAAATTAGCGGTAGGTTGAGATGGTCACCTCCCACCAGCTATGTTTTATACACTCTTGAATCTTGAGACCGGTAAATCCGAACGGCGTGCAAACAAAGTCTCATCCAAGTGGCAACTGGCGATTTGGTTCGTCCATTAGCGAATATTATAAATCCTGTCACATACAGTACGGTCTCTGCGTGTGGCCCGGGTTTTCCAGACGCTGAGGGGAGACGAGACAGTCGACCGCCCTAAATTTGACGCGGCTCGCTCGTGGTGTTCCAAATATACGACCATGACTGCCCAGGTCCACCACACCACAGGAGCTATTTTTATTTATTTATTTAATCAAGTTTAACGTCCATATGGAGCCAGTTGGCTATGACAGACACATGCGTCTGGGCAGTGGTCTAGACCACTGCCCC